AGGAGGAGGGAGGGAGGGAGAGAGAGCTAGGGAGAGCACACCTTATCTATTTAATATAGATAAAGTAAGAAATCGTTCCAGTGTGTACTATAGGACAGTAAAAAAAAAAGTTTAAAAAGGGAGTGATTAGTAAAATATGCATAAATAAAAAGAAAGAATGCTAACTAGGTAACATAAGATAAGAAATAAACCAGTTTAAATGATTTGTTATTGGTTGTGATCATATTCTAAAGATGTTGGATTATTGAAAAGTATACAGCTCCCTTTCATCTGAGTGTTGAGAGCTGTATCCATACATTCATTTTGTGCTCAAAGTGCACCATATTGATGCTTTTCACTTCAACATTTACAAAAAACATCTTCCCGGCGGAGCATGCCCCCGGACCCCCCTAGAGGAGGTGAGGTCCACCCCCAATAAAGCAGGTTAAAATAATTAAATTGAATACATTTTATTTAGTAAACATTGAAAACGGGTCCCACAGACCCAAACAGACACAAAGGTTAAAGGTCAGCATATCATAATGTTAAAATGTGCTAAATATATACACTGCAAAAAAAGAGGAGTAAAAGTAACATCCGACTTGTTTTATTTTTTTAAAGTAGCCCTCACCCTAAAAAAGGTTGGTGACCCCTGATCTGATCTAGATGCTCTGTCTCGAGCCAGTTAACTAGCGGGCCTTCTAGAATACCCTGGAACCGAGGGGAGCTCTGAAAGAATACGCCCATTGGCTACAAATCAATATATGATTGGATGATCAAACTGTCAGTCCAAACGTACATTCAGTGCAACGGCCAGGGCATTCTATCAAGGATGTAGAATACCTTGTTGAAGGATATTCTCCCAGAGACCCAGAACAAGATCTGATTGGTTGCTTTCTTTTCTACTGAAATGCGTAGTGCATGGTCCGAGAAGGACAAACCAATCAACGTAACACTGTAATATTACAGATCAACAACACAGACACCATTCTCATTTATTAATTTTGCGATTTTTTGTTTTTCTGAGTGTTGCAGGGTATTCTCTGAATACCTTGAAGGCCCTGACGGTTCGCCACTGTGGGATACAAACCCAGACATCACAACGTAGCTTTACGGAGCAAACACGCGAATAGTCTTACCGTTGCTGTTATTCTGATCAAAGTTGTGTTCAATGGAATCAAAACGATAAAAACGCTGCTGAAGGTTAATCCAATGTGTCTGTGTCACTTTGAAATGATTACTTATAATCCATTCATATTTACTAGTTTGAGCCAAGGTTTGAGTTTTTTTCAGAGCGTAACATAGCTTTACACTGGGTATGCGCCACTCTCAATCATCAATGGTAACGTGTGTGTGGATGTCGAACTTCCCCTTGATTCTATTGGCTCTAAGGGTTAAAAAGAGGGTCAATCACCAAAATCGACCAATGGGTTCCAGAGAAACGCCAAATGCACCCAAAAGATCCCAGAGGTGTTTTTTTTGCTAAATCTCTCTAAAAAGGTCAAATGTCACTTGTTTTGCAACAATCTTGATACAGGGAACTTATTATATGTTATAGTTTGGATTCCTAAAGCTTTTAGTCTACCATCCCATCATTCAAGGGTGGTTTTCACTATAAGTAATGTTTTTCTTTTGGACGGACACTATCATTTACATTTTTTTTACTATGTTCAATCTGAATTGACTTTAAAATAAACAAATTATATGTTGATTCTGAATTTTCTACATCCAACTCACAGGTTTATCATTGCTTTGAGAAAAAATATTATTAATTTACCCCTTTAGAAGTGAAGTTATGGTCATTTTTTAGCCTGAGGCCTGTAAACAGGCTTGGGGCTTAATAGGTTAACAAATATGCATTATTTGGGCTTTGGGCTTCTACTAACCATATGGCTTTCTGGGTTTTTTCCTCAGACACGTCATGACGTATCTCTCCAGCTCCCGCAGCGTTGACGGCTTCAGCGTCTCAAAGTCAATCTCGATCTCCTCGGGGTTGGTGTCTCGGAGCGAGGGCTCGCGCGACTGGATGATGTAAACGACGCGGCCCAGCTTCTCTCCCGGCAGTTTGTTGATGTCGAGGCTGAGTTGGCGCTTCTCATCATAAGACATGGGGGCCGTCTCCTCCTCCTCGTCTGAGTCGTAATGGCTCACTATGGGCTCGTGGAGGCTGAGGCACGTTAAAGGTCATGCCGCCCTTTTTGGTTCTGATGAGACAGGAAAAGGAAATGGAGGGAGAGAATGTTAAAAGGTGACACTGTATATAAAAAATATACATCAAGTAGCAATCTGTCTATTCATCCCTGGGGGCTTCTTTTCAGATGTCTAGGGCATATTCTAGACGCACCAACAGATAGAGCTTCATGCCACACACATGATTCCACCATCGTCCAGCAGGGGTCAGTACTCACTTGCGCTTGTTGTTTTTCTTGCTTGCTGCCTTCTTGCCTGATGCTACAGGACCTGATGATCCTCTGTTGCTCTTAGATTTTGGGGTCTTGGTGATCTTAGGGGTCTTGGGCGGTCTAATGGGTGTCACCTCTTCCTCTATCTTCCGATGCTTTTCCTTTTCTACCTTTTTCTTCTTTTTCTTGTCCTTCTTATCTTTCTTTTTTTTGGGTTTGACGATGGGGCCCTGTGAGAGTGCAGTGAGCTGCTCGTGTACGGCTTTTAGCTGAAGAGAGAAAGAAAGACAGATATGTTATGATTACTGATGAAAAGGCATATGAAAATGATTTCATATGTTGTGTGTGTCACGCGTGTGCAAACACAGGAGTACAAACCTGTTCCTGCAGCTCTGCCAGCCGGTTTGCCCTCTCCTCCTCAGAGTCAGAGCTGGGGCTGCTCTCGCTCTCACTTTCACTGCTGACCTCGCTCTCAGATGAGGATGAAGAGGAGGAGGAGGAAGATGAGGAGCTAGGGGGTGCTGTGGCTCGTCTGGCATCTTAGCAAAGCAGAACTCAAAGACATCCTAAAAGGATTAAACAGATGGTGAGGATCAATAATAAAAAAACAAGAACAGTGATGATTCGAGGGAATTAAAAACACAAGCAGTTAAATTGAATTATTTTAAAAGGAGTATAACAAATAGTATCACTGAAATAAGTGCATTACCTGCAGCTTTCTGGCCATGCCCACAACGTCATGATCAGGAGGGTTGTACTTGTAGCAGTTGGAGAACATCAGTCTAACATCAGCAGAGAACTGCTGGGAGTCACGATACTCTCTGCTGTCCATCTTCCGCTACAACAATGAGAGAGAAGGAGATTATAGGTACATTCTAAACTTGCCAAAAACAGTTCATCAAGTTAATCTTCCCCATACCACAACAGGTTTCCTTAACTTAGACCAAGAAAAAGTGCTTCTCTGTTCTGAAATGTTAATAATTAAGTGTGTTTATGGTGAGTACCTTCATAGTGCTGAGGTCCATGGGCTGCTTAATGATGTCGTGGTAGTCGTGGAGACCAAGCATTGAGGCATCGACAGGCTTGTAGAACGGCCAGGCGTACGCTGCATGCTTCTTTGA